AGAATATCGTACGTACGAAGGTCAGAGTCCTAAAAAAGAACAGACATCCCGAGTGGTATACACCATTCCCAGAACCCTTTAGAATCTAGTTCTACTTTTTCTCTTTCGTAAACATTTACAGCGCTATTATCATCATCATCATCATCATCATCATTCTGTGTGTGTATGCATGTGCATTGTCCTTTCTCGCCACATAATGGCACACCATTGGAAATGTACTTATTTTATTTTTCTCACCTGTTAATGCTAACTTTAATTTTTCTTAGAATTATTATTAATTTATTGACATTATATAAGACTGTCTTATTTTGTTTTTTAGTTATTTTTGTGTCTTTGTGCGTACTCGTGCTAACTCTGTAATTCGTCTCTGTGCTGTTAAGTTTGCACGTAAATGAACACGAATTGAATTCAACTGAATTATTGTTATTATTATCACCACCATCACCACTTGTGATAACAATACTCTCACTGGGGGTGAGATAGTCTGTCACACCGGACCGGTTTTGTTAGAGAGCCGCACTATCCCAAGTCATCAGAGTCGAAGTCACAGCCTTCTGCGCTGATTATATTCAAAGCACGGAACTAAACTAATTTTTAAGAGTCTGCTACGGTTACTCAGCCGGCGAAGACACTTCCTGCTATTGTGGCATCACTGCCGTGTTCACACATAGATTCGTCCGCAAGCAGTTAAGTTAGTCGATGCCATCAAGCCTTATCTTTCTAAAACCCATTTCTTCATGTGAAAGCCTGCTCAGTTGGACCCATTCGATAGAGCTAGTCCCTCGATTCGGCTCAGATGAGCAGCCTTACCTCCTGAGTAAGGGAGAAAGCGCTATCGATTGGGACCAACTGAGTAGTCCTACGTGCGGAGATAGGGAGAAAGCTCTATCGATTGGGCCCAAATGAGTAGGCTTTCACCTGAACACGGAGACAGAATTCAGTCTCCAAAACGTTGTGTTTTAAATAAAAAACAGAACGACAGATAATATCCAGAAATACAATAGCCGCATTATTATACCATCGTCACCAAATTTTAGATAAGCATTTTAATATTATCCTCCAATTTATACAAATGTCTCCCGAAGCTGTTTACTTGCTATAAGTGTATCTGTCTTTCCCGTCCTTTCCCTGCGTACATCCTCTTCTCTTTGATATACACACCCTGACGACATCGGAGGGCGACAGACCTGACTGGGGCAGCAGCTGACATAACGGGGTGACGGGGATGCTACACAACATGAACACGAGTGTATGTACTCACTGGCCTTCGGAACGACGGAACGTATTGATCGGAACACGTAAATACATTGGACTTCCTGGAACTTCACTATTTTAACACTCCAGCACTTCCATGAAGCAAACGCGGGAAGCGGCCGTCACATTTCATTGCGGAGCTGGTCGGTCGGAAGGCTCTTATTATATTACTACTTTATAATATGCAGGGATGTGATGTGTACAGTCAGGGCGAGCTTAATTTATAGCAAGAAACACAGAACTGCACATATTCGTAGGTCGCGTTATCTGTACCGCATGTAACCCAGGTCGAAAGGTATGGGCGCAGTCGAAGTGCGGTCGTGCGATTTAACACGCTCCACTGGCAAATACAATCTACTGTCACGTGTTGGAGTGACTGCAGATGTGGATTGGTAACCGGATTTACTGGACACTGTAACACACAACTCGAGGCTAGACTTCACAAATCAATATCACACGCAGACTAGTGTTCTCAGTCTATCACACTCCACTAGTCGTTGCTTAGTAGCGGTTTTCAACGGTGGACGTTCCCCTTCCTTGGGGTTCCCGAACTGTCCCCGGCCTCAGCTACCAGCTTCTCTAACTTTCAACTGACTTGTCTGCCTGCAGATTCTCTCTCGACTGACTGACCAACTGCTAATGGCAGCTGGTCCTCGTTAAACATACAGGGCCTGCACGGACCCCATAGAAACGACTTCCAACACATAATATTGCGTGTGTGTCTGTTCCGGCTATCACGTGACGGCTACTGGACCATGACCTAGCAACGGGAGTGTTTAAAGAGCCGTTCCCTACCAACGGCTCTTTCTGCTAGCTTCACAATTCTGACTTTCAGCAGACATACCACAATTTTGCTGCAAAGGCAGGCACATCACACGCCGTGCAGTACTACACGGCTTAAACAAAATATGTATCTTAACGACATGTACGAGTATAAAACAAAGAATTTTGTTCTTAAGAAATCAATGTTTAAGCTTCACGTCAAATTTGTGTTACACAGGGCCGATACGAAACAAAAGTTGTACCGCTTCCATGCCTCCTCCTCGAAACAAATGGATCCTTTAAGGGCATGTTTCCTGCATCACTTCCCACTCGCTATCAGTCTACGAACAGCCAGGTGACTCTGCGCAATCATTTGGCCTTATATATGCTGACAGTAAGGATCTCCGAAACGTCGGAAACGCAGGCTGCATCTGCCCATACCACATCTCATTAAAATTCGTCGAATAATTTTGGAGGTGCAGCTAGTATGGAACATGCGAAGAAGCATTCGCTCGCTACTGGAGCAGGAAAGTAACGAGTCCAATACAGGCGCGCGGGCGATACACTGCATCTGTGAACACACCCATCAGTCCATCGCCATCATACAATATATTCCGTGCAGTAGCCATGTTGTTATTTTAAGTTTCGTAAAGGTAAATATATCCTAACAAACACTGTATGTTCCTGACGGAAGGTTATATAAGACTGATCTGTTAAACTGTCTGCTGCAGAGCCCCCGACGTAACGGAATCGCTTGGCGCAGCAACATCAGTCAGTCGGCAGGTACTGAACAGAAGTGGAAGTCTCACTCTGATCTGAAAACTGCTGCAGAAACAGAAGTATCTCGTCAACTTTGCTTCTGTTAACTTCATCAAAGACTCTCGTCATTTCGTTAACAGCGAAATGAGCTTGAACACTGAACTCTTCTTTGATCACAGAGTAGGCCTGCGTACGTTAAAGACATCTTCTGAATTCACTAACTCTTCGATAAAAGGACGTCACTTAAATAGAGTTAACATTAACAACGCCATCGGGCAGGTTACTAATTTATATCCATTTAATCTCTCCTTTTCCTTATTTCTTCGTTCGTTTCTCGATCCTCTCTTCTTGCTGGTGCACACAGACCAGGTGAGAGGCCGCGGTCCACAGCAATGTCACCAAAGGCTGATTCAAACACCACACAGACTAATATGGGTATTGCTGGTAATGAAACGGCAGATCAGTTGGCAAGAACAGGACCTGAACCAGCTTGCGGCATCTCAGTAGGAGAGTATTGCAGGGAATGAAACCGCAGATCAGCTGGCAAGAACAGGATCTGAACAGACGTTCACAGGACCTGAACCTGCTTGCGGCATCTCAGTAGAAGAGTATTGTAGGGAATGAAACCGCAGATCAGCTAGAAAGAACAGGTTTTGAACCAGCTTGCGGCATCTCAGGAGGAGAGTACTGCAGGGAATGAAACCGCAGATAAGCCGGCAAGAACAGGATCTGAACAGCCGTTCATAGGACCTGATCCACCTTGAGGCATCTCAGTAGGAGAGGATTGCTGGGAATGAAACCGCAGATCAGCTGCAAAGAACAGGATATGAACCAGCTTGCGGCATCTCAGGAGGAGAGTACTGCAGGGAATGAAACCGCAGATCAGCTGCAAAGAACAGGATATGAACCAGCTTGCGGCATCTCAGGAGGAGAGTACTGCAGGGAATGAAACCGCAGATCAGCTGCAAAGAACAGGATATGAACCAGCTTGCGGCATCTCAGTTGGAGAGTATTGCTGGGAATGTAACCGCAGATCAGCTGGAAAGAACAGGATCTGAACAGCCGTTCATAGGACCTGAACCAGCTTGAGGCATCTCAGTTGGAGTTGCCAAGAAAGTGATCAGGGAATAGACGAACAGAAGTCACACACACACACACACNTGGGAATGAAACCGCAGATCAGCTGCAAAGAACAGGATATGAACCAGCTTGCGGCATCTCAGTTGGAGAGTACTGGGAATGTAACNAGGGAATTAAACTAGAGCCCTCTGCTAGAAGAACGAAGGATCTGTTGAAATTAAACAGAGACCAATTAAGATGGGTGATATGACTATTTACAGGACACTGTCACCTTAAAGGACACCTTTTCAAACAGGGATTGACAAATGACCCCACTTACGAAAGGTGCCTACAAGATGAATCAGCCACACATACCCTATGTGACTGTGAGGCCATAGCTTATTTAAGATTTCGTCACCCGGGCCAGTTCTTCATGGAACCAAGTGACTACCATGACGCCCCCGTAAACAAGTCTAATTTTCATTCCAAGTGTAGGATTAAAAAAGGGTTAATCAGAAGGGAAAGCATAATAGATCGTTGAAGGTCGGGGTGCAATGGCCGGATTATTATGGCCTACCCTCATACATTCATTCATTCATTCATTCACCGGGAATTGTTTTACGGGTCGCATGAGGATGTCATACTGTGCATACTGAAGGTTCAGCTTATCACCGGCTGTGAACTTACTTTTGGACCCCTCACCTCTTTCAGATCTCGTTCACAGTGGCGGATATTCTCTTCCCGGTCCTTTGTAAAGACTCACCAGAAATATGACAGTGCTACATGTTAGGCATCTTCATGCGTTTATTGACCAATCAACAACTGCGCATCTGATAGTGCAGATACGAACGTGAACAGGCTGGCAGCGGGCCACTCACACCAGAGCGCACACCGTTATTAGGTTCGCATTTCGCATTCAATTTATTAAGAGATGTGGGGGGGGGGGAGAGAGCAGCAGAACACGTTTCCGGTTTCAAAAGGAACTGCAATATTTAAAGACAAGCAAAACATACGTGACTACACGTTCTCATTACTGGCCAGCTGGTGGGGAAGCTACAGAACGTCTGAGACTGTACAGAGCTCTGCATATAATCGCATTTGTATCACTGCTGAACTCCTGCGCCTTACTCATAGAAACGGTGTGCTTGCCCAAGCCTGTTAATTACCTGCATTTTGACGGCGATGATGATGGAAGAGAGATCAGATCCGAGAGGCCTGAGGACCACGAGCCGTGACAGCGTGAGAGAACACAACCTGCAACACAACAAACCACCGCCTGTCAACATTCATCCACGTTTTCTTTCTTATGAACTAAAAAAAAAGAAAGACTTCCAAGATTTTCTGGCTGCTCGAACTGCGGACAGCATGCAACCGACGTTTCGACAGGACGCTGTCACGTTTTGCAAGCGATTCTAACAATGCAAGTTAGTTCCAGAGTGCCGAGTCAGGTTGGGTTGGGCCAACGCGACTGCCTAATTCAAAGAAAACCCAGGCATGATACTGTAACACGTCTGATGGGTAGGAAACACCCCCAAGCGTAAAACAGTTGTTATTCCTGTACTTAAGTATGCTCCACTCCGTGTAGACGATAGGCCAATGAAGGAGCGGCAACGGGACTCGCCACATTCTCACAGCCGTATGGGAGGCGGTGAGTGGTGACAGCGCGTCCCTGTCTGTTCACCTTCCAGGGAAGAACCACTGTAAGCACTGGACAGGAGGCTGGGTCCGCCCCAGAGCCGGTCTGGAGGCTGTGAAGGAGAGAATGTGCCATCGCCTAGTCACGTAAATGCCACCATCCAACTCTTACAGAGGATCTGTATTTGTGTTATGTGCCTGAACACGTCGCGCAGAGACTGATGGTGACGTCAAGCTGAGGGAGTCTTGCTGCCGTATAGCCTTCACATGTGTGGCACAGGAAATCACGGTGTCAATTAGTTTCACTTTCGGCTTTATTTCCTTATCCCCGCAAAACCAGTGCAGATGAATCGACTTTAAGTCTGTTAACGAAAATAAGTTCTTTCTGCCGTAAAGAACGCCTAAAATACAGCCCTGCAACCTATTATTACAACAGTGTCCTCATAAAGGTATCAGAGGGAAAAGGGAACGATTCGATTAATAGGACTTCTATATGAGAAACATACAATTATCTTTGTAAGATTTTTGGTTTTCACGGCGGTGACTATGAAGAATGCCGTCTTCTGAGATGTGGGCGTCGTGTAGATATTTTGCTAACCGACGTTCCGGAGGACCGTATCGCCTCCATCTTCAGGGTATAAGAAATCCGCGAGCGATGAATCAGCGTGAGCAGGTTAAAAAAATATCTACACGGCACGACATCCCAAAATCAGCATGGGTTTGGTGACGTAGTAATGATACATACAGCTTTCATGATATAAGGGTATGATAGGAACATGTTTTGGGGAAACATTTCTCTCCCCATTTTAACCGATTCTTCGATAACGAGAATATCCTGATGGCAAAGAAAGTAGTGTTAATAAGGGTTAATTCCTCGCTCAAAAATACACAATATAATAACGAAATAAAATGTTTAGATTTTAACTGTCGGTTATACGGAATCCTTGTTCATCGATGATGTGCGCAGATATGCATCTTGCCTCGAATCATTTACTGGGAGCTTGTGTGAGTAATATGGGAACGAATAATCCGTAACTCCACCCGCAAATGGGCCGACAACAAGCAGTCCAGTTACGGGAGAATCACATCAACATTCGTTCTATCCAAAAACTCTGACAACAACGCACGCTATACGTACCGTGAAGTAAGCTTTGTCAATATATATATTGACGTGTTCCTGACAAAGCTTACTTCAAGGTACAACCGGTAGTTTATTTTGTTTCGAATTTCTCCACAGATATATTCTTAATATCCTGAAGGCATTGTAAAAAGGAGCAACAGGTATGCATTTTTGCTGTGCGTGAAAATTCTCCGTTCTTTACAGATTCTGTGCTTCCCTGCAGGAAACCCCAGGTCACAAGAGCTGAAGAAAAGGCAAACTAACTGCCCGGGGGAGGGAACTGTCCTAATCTTCAAGTAGATACAAAAGATAATAATGTAAAACTGAATTATTCCGGCTTTCAATGGGGCTTCCAATCTGATAAAATAATTCGTCCATTTTATCTGGAATATATTTATCCACACACATTGTTTTACAAAGTGAAAACCTTAATCTGGCTGGTGTACCTGGCCCTCTTCATGTGAATAAGATACAGTAAACCCTCGTTAATCCGGATTAATTTGGCGTGGAGACTATCCGGATTAAGCGACAATCTGGATTAACGAAGAAACAGATAGCAATAAAAACATCAGGAAACAAATAAATGGAAAATGTAATACTATAGGTAGTGCTGATGAAAAAAATATCACTGAAGCAATTTCTTCCACTCTCAGAAACCGAAATCCGAGGTCTCCTTCATCCAGCTCAAGCCAAACCTGGATATTTTCTTGTGCGGTTTCAGTCTCTCCAGCTGCCCTCAATACAGTCTGAAAGTCCTCTTGCTCTTAAATCCCAAGTGTCTTTTAAAGTATGTACTCAATTGTGAACAGTATTTTTCATATTTCGATCCGGATTAACTGTAACCGGATTTAAAAGTGTTCACTGCACTGCATTTCTTGTTTCAAATTACTCTTCGCCGGATTTCTGCTATAACATTAACGTTATGAGTAGGGGCCAGATTTTAATGCGAATGCATATTTCCTGTACCCTATGTAGGGTATGCACAAAATAATTGTGCAGTTTCAAAAGTTAGTAAGAAACTTATTTCTCAACTTACACGGGCACAATATACACCGCCAGCGGCCGCAACTGTCCAAGTTTCTCATGCGCTAATTACAAACAGCCAATGTGTGCACCCTGGGTCACACGACACACATCCACACGGTAATTAAACTCATCCCAGACCCGGTGTAGCATGTCCACTGTAATGGCCTGCAGTGCATGCGTTGTCCGATCACGAAGTTCGTGGATGGACTTGGGCAATGGTGGTACATAAACGCTGTCTTGAACGAAGCCCCAAAGAAAGAAATGGCAGGGTGTAAGATCCGGCGAATGGGGTGGCCAAGGGAGAAGTGTTTTGTCTCCATTTGCAGCAGCATGTCCGATCCAGCGCTGTGGAAGAACACGATTGAAAAACACCGGTACATTCCTGTGAAAATGGTGGGGGGGGGCCTCCGTCCAGCTGTAGAATGTAATCGTCATGATTGATATTCAGCTGGAGTAACAACCACCTTTCCAACATGTCCAAAAATGAGTCGCCAGTCACAGTTGCTTCAGCGAAGAAAAACGGGCCGTGCACTTTCTCGCGGGACACCGCACAGAAAACGCTGACTTTTGGACACTCACGCTGGTGCTCTATCTGTGCATGTGGTTGCTCGCTTCCCCAGATACGAACATTGTGTCCGTTCACCCAGCCACTGATGTGGAATGTGGCTTCATCGGAGATCAGTCTTTGTACGAAACCATCTTTCTCCATTTTCAACTGCATCTCCTCGCAAAGTTCCGCCTTTTCACTTTGTCTTCTGGTTTAAGGGCCTGCACAAATCTTGTACGGTTTGAAACGTAGCCGCTTAAGCAACACCTTCCACACCGTCATTCCCTGCTCCCTGTACCCACTGACTTGCGGGGACTTCGCTGAGACGCCTCACGCACTCTTTCAATGTTGCCATCAGACATACGAGGTCGACCAGGACTCTAGCCTGTACACAAGCATCCAGTTTCTGCACACTGTCGATACCACCTGCTTATGTTACTCTTGTGTGGTGCGTCTTTGTGGAGCCGCGCACGAAACTCACGCTACACTGTAGTCACACATCTGTACACCTCAAAACGGAACACACAGAAAGCCTTCTCCTGCTGCAACGCCCTCTTTGAAACTGGTCTCGCGGCCATGCAGTAAGCATGAGAAGCGAACTGCTGGTAGCGCATGAGAAACTTGGACAGTTGCCGCCGCTGACGGTGTGTGTTGTGCCCGTGTAAGCTGAGAAATAAATGTTTTATTAACTTATGAAACCGCACAATTCTTTTGTGTATACCTGACCGTTATCAGTCTAACTTGAAGATACATCGTCATTATACAAGCGACGAATAGAAGCAGTCGAACCGAGTCTTGTTGGGACACAACAGCTCTGGCCGCTGTGGCGCTCCGACAACTCCTCGAGACAGGCAACGAGCGTCTTCTTCCAAACGGTTTGCAACTCACTATTCATGACAGGCTTCCCACTTCACCTGACGCTATATTCTGGGGGTCACGGTATGGGGCATTCTAAGCAGTATATGTACATGTGCCCCATTCCAAATGGTTTCCGAGATAGAGCTATTTCATTGTACAGACGAACATGCCAAGTCCTCGCACAAGAGTTGCAAAGTGCATTGATGTTGACGGTGGAATTTTCTGAAGTGTATTATACTAGGTATACTGTACGGACTTTGTCATTTGCACAATAAATACAGGTATTAGAAACAGTACGTAATATAGCTTTCTTATCAACAGTTCTGGAGCTGTACAATGAAACAGCTCTACGTGGGAAACCGTTCGCAACAGGGCACATGTACATACACACATATCTCTTTCTTATCAACAGTTTTGGAGCTGTGCAATGAAACAGATCTATCTCGGAAACCGCTCGGAATAGGACACATGTACACGTACACATATCTCTTTTTGGAGCTGTTTTGGAGCTGTACAATGAAACAGATCAATCTCGGAAACCGCTCGGAACTGGGCATATGTACATATACACATATCTCTTTCTTATCAACAGTTTTGGAGCTGTACAATGAAACAGCTTTATCTCGGAAACCGTTCGAAATAGGGCACATGTAAATATACACATATCTTTCTTATTAACAGTTTTGGAGCTGTACAATGAAACAGATCTATCTCGGAAACCGTTCGGAATTGGACACATGTACCAGTACACATACACTTTTTTTACTTAGAATGGCCGATACTGTGACCTTACAGAATATTGACCTTTCTTCCTGGGTCACCTTGCATAATCTATGTAATTGAAACAGAGTCGTTAAAGAAAGCAATGATAAACCAGTGCCTAAACAAGAGTGGAAATCCTGCTCAGAAATAAATGCAAGACTCGTCACTGTGCCTACAGTGGCGACCTACTGAACAAGCGCTGCAACCTCATCTGACCTCATCTCAGTTCGACAACATCCGCCAGAAGCAGCAGATTTTTCTGGGCTCTCATCGTCGCCAGTGTCGACGTCCTACTGAGAGCGTCGC